TGCCTTCCTGTACACAAGCTTGTATGTATATGACCCTATCGGTGTTTATATGTAGTTCTATATGCCCACAAGGAATCATCTAGCTTTGCAACCCAATCTTTCCTGTTCACACTTACAGTTTGCTCTAGTATCTTTATTTCTCTGTTGGACACTTCAGATTGTCCACTATTTTGTGAATAATATGTCGTGGCAACTCTGTGTAAGATACCATATTTGTCTAGAAGTTTATTCAACAACCAATTCTAGAAATATGTTCCTTCATCACCAATCAAGTCATTTGGAGTCCCAAACGTCAAGAATATATTCTTTTTCACCAAAGTGGCTACCACCTTGGCATCATCAGTTTCCAATGCAATAGCTTCCACCCATTTGGACACGTAGTCCACCGCGAGCAAAATGTACTTATTTCCTCTAGACAATGGGAATGGTCCCATGAACTCTATGCCCCACACATCAAAAATCTCTGCCTCAAGGATATTATTCAAAGGCATGTCATGATTTCTCGTGATTGTTCCTGTTCTCTAGCACTGGTCATACTTTTTAACAAATGCACAGGCTCCTTGAACAACGTTGGCCAATAGAACCCCGACTGCAATACCTTTGCCGCCATCCTATCGCCTCCATGACGACCATCATAAGGTGAGGCATGGTAGTCATAGAACAGTAGTTCTACTTGTTTTCCGGGAATGCATCTCCTTATCAATTAATCAACACACCACCGATACAAGAATGGCTCATCCTGGTAATAAAAGTTCACATCATGCAAAAACCTCTTATTAGCCTCAGATTGAATTTCAGGAGGAAGAACCCCAATTACAGGATAGTTAACGTAGTTCGCGTATCATGGGACAAGGTCATGGATGATGGCAAAAAGTTTCCCATTAGGAAATGTATCCTTAATTTGTCCACCTTCCTCCACGTATTCATAATTTTCCAGTCATGACAAGCGATCCACCACTTGATTTTTTGGGTCCTTCTGATCTCGTATTTCAACATCAAATTCCTACAACAACAAAACCTAGCATATCAACCTAGCTTTGGATTTTTTTTTTTTTTGAAAATAGATACTCGATTGCTGCATGATTGGTGTGGACTATGACTTTTAGTCCCACCGAGTAAGCCCAAAATTTTTGAAAGCCCCATACAACAACTAACAACTCCTTCTTTGTGGTGGTGTAATTCATCCATGCATCATCAAGAGTCTTACTCGCATAGTATATGGAGTAAAACATCTTATCCTCCCTCTATCATAGCACTGTCCCAATAGCATGGTCACTTGCATCACACATATGTTCAAATGGCAAGGATCAACAAGGTGCCACAATGATGGGGAAAGTCACCAACCTCTCCTTAAGCTCCTCGAACGCCTTCAGACAGGCTTCATCAAATTTGAAGTCACATCCTTTTCGAGCAACCTGCACAATGGAGTAGCAATTTTAGAAAAAAACATTAATAAAGTGTCTATAAAACCTGCGTATCCCAAGAAATTTCGAACATCCCTTCACGGAGATGGGTAGAGGTAATTTTGCAACTGCCTACACCTTCGTCTTATCAACTCAATGACGTTCTTCGATACTCTATAACCCAAGACGATGCCCTTTTGCACCATAAAATGGCATATTTTTCAATTTAGCACCAAATTCATTTTTTTCACACCGTGCCAACACTTTTGGCCAAATTTCTTCAAGCAATCATCATAAGAAGACCCAAAGACTAAAAAATCATCCATGAAGACTTCTACAAATTTTTCCACTATATTAGTGAAAATGTCCGTCATGCACCGTTAGAAACTGGCTAGTGCATTACAAAGACTGAATTACATTCGCTTGAAAGCAAAGGTACCATAAGGACATGTGAAAGTCATTTTCTTCTAATCCGCTAGGTATATGAAAATCTGGTTGTACCCCAAACAACCATCAAGGAAGCATTAACACTCATGTCCAGCCAACCTGTTCAACATTTGATCAATGAATGGAAGTGGAAAGTGAGAAGTGGTCATTGCGGGTTGCTTTATTGAGCCTTCTATAGTCAATAAAAACTCTCCACCTCGTCACGGTACGAGTAGGAATTCGTTCATTTTTCCCGTTTTCCACCACAGTCATCCCGCCCTTTTTAGGCACACATTGCATTGGGCTTATCCATTGCTGTCAGAAATAGAAAAGATAATACCTGCATCAAGCCACTTAATTATTTCCTTTCTTCACGGCCTCCTTCATAATAGGACTCAACCTCCTTTGTTACTCAACGCTGGGCGGTGCCATCTTCCAGCTTGTTATCATATCAAGCTTGTTACAAAGAGTTATTATAAATTTTCAGTACCCACAACTTGAACGATCTAATGAAAATTGTATCTCAAACCTTAAGTTTTCTGGCCTAGTTGTTTGGACTAAGTATAATCTATTTCTATAAGCTGTCTCATCACTCATGCACCATGTACATCTGGATCAGATATTCTGTCTCCTAGATTAAAATACTACTACTATTTTCTTTCTGAAAGTATCATTTTACTATCTATGATTGTATATACTAGACAGTGTATTCTTCTGTTCTTGTTCCTTCTATGGTATTCTGTTGTTAATTGAAAAATGCAGAAGGTGATGAGATAGTTATGTAACTATATATAATGGTCGTAATTGTGATGAGGAAGATTATGATAGACTCGTTCGTGGTTGTACTTGTATGCACATTGCATTTTGCAAACCTATCATTAATGTGTAGCCCTAATAATAGAAAATTTAAGTCAATACTAATACTTAACATTAAGGTATGTTCCAATGTCTGCATTTTCCTTTCCTCCTCTTATGCAATTTCTTTTACAATTTTCCATAATTTCAAATTCAAGACGATAGTTTTTGTTAAGGTATTTAGATCTGAGTTTAAATGTTTATGTTAGAATTGAGTCAATATAAAAGCATTTATAATTTTTATTGTGATAAAATAGCACAGTATGTTTCTATAGACTTTTTCTTTTTTGAAAAATTATGAGAAAGAACCATTCTTGATTTATCTCGACGTTATTGGTGAAAATAGAATGACTAAAAATTGGGGGCATCTAATAGTGTGGAGGATGATTATCTGATCTCTGAGGGAAATAAAAGCGATCTATACCAAAAATAATTTTATTTTCAGGGTTTGAACCAGAGACCTCTATTTAAGAATAAAGGGCTACTTACCACTTTATTATAATATTGTGCAGAGTGTAGTACTGGTCCCGGCTGGACGTGAGGGGCATCAACTCGGATTAGCATTTGGTGACTCGAGGTAGATCTGCTGGCGTCCGCAGACCATGAAGTCCCCTTCCTCTTTCTCCATTTACTGTTCCTTTCATTTGAGAAAGTTGTACTTATTTCAAACTCTATCTGTAAAAACTCTAGAAGCTCGTGTACTTGTGACTTCAGATCCGGGTTGTACTAGAGTATTGAGTTATTATGCTACTTGTTCTTCATTTTAGTTTCATTTCTGTTTAATTGGTTAAACCGTTTGAAGTGTTTAAAAGTTGGCAAAAGAAAGTACTCTAACGTTGGCGGGCCTAGCAAGTAAAATATTTGGCGCCATCACGGCCCCGACGGTGAGAATTTCGGGTCATGACAAGTTGCTAAACATCAAAGGTTTTTTTATTAAGGCCTCATTTGTTTGCACTTAATAGAGGTTTGAATCTTAATCATTCAGATCTATGTCATTAAGTGCATTTGTTTTTCCCGATTTGAATCTTAATAATTCAAATCTTAACTATTAAGTCTGTTTGTTTTTTAATTTTAAAATCACTTAATGGATATAAATAGATCTTAATGATTAAGATCTATAATAGAGTCTTAATATCATCAAGATGTTATACATTCATGAATTTATATAAAAAAATGATATTTACCATAACTCCTACATTTTCACCACTAATTACTACCAACACTGCTATCGTCGTCCTCTACTATTATAGACTACCATCAAAACTATCCACCCCTCCCCATTACTATCAAGCCTCAGCCACAAACACCATCATTGCTAAGCACTAATATCAGTTGTCATCACCACTTTCCATCATTTACAATCATCACCACTAGCCATTATTTACAACCATCACCACCAACCACAATTACCATATCAACCATCGATTACCATATCAACCAACTTTTATGTATTACCCACTACCGTTATCAGTCACTACCACTATTAACTACTACTGTTATCTGCCATCTGCTACCCATAATCATTACCATCACTCACTACCCAATCGGTACCCACAACCAATTGATTCTTCGAAAATCTGTATATTCTTTCTCTAGAATGGGAGCTTCTCTTAGCTAAGGCTGGATGGTGAAGAAGTCGCGGACTGGAGGGATAGGGCAAGGAGGAATTGGGAGTCAACATGGAAACTTTGGCACGAGAGGAATCCCTCAACGGAAGACGCAAAGAAAACTCGGAGTGTAAAGGTCTCACAATGAGTGATTCTTTTGGAATTGAAGCACTCACCCATGGCAGGACCATCAATGACGACACCAATGGCAAGTACGCAATTGAATACACAAACGAGCACTAGCAATCAAGCACAGACTACAAGGAATCAGTCATGCGCGGACCAGGTTGTAGCTGAGGAGAAATCCACAGGTAAAGCCCAAACCCTAGCCACAAATTTGAAATCATGGAGTAAGGTAGTAGGAGATGCACCAATAGTTGAGGGCTTTGACTTAGAAGGAGAAATTAATCCAACTGTAAATGTCAAAATTACTATAGAGGATGTAAAAGAGGAGATAGAATACTGGTAAAATTACATAGAATATTGGACATAGAAAGAGTATGTAAAGTCGTGTGCTTTACAAGGGTTGAACCCTCCCCTAACAGTCATTGAGGGGTATTTCAAATACATATGGAATACATTGAGGTGGACAAGGTAGCACAAAATAAAAAGGAGTCTTTATGGTTAGATTTCATAGTATTAAAGGGTGCACAAAGGCAATTGAAGGGGGAATTTAGATCTTTGATAGGAAACCAGCAGTAGTGAAGCCATGGAAACTAGGAATGAAGATGAGCAAAGTAATTGTAGAGCAGGTGCTCGTATGGATCAGACTATTGGGATTGGACCTGAAATATTGGGGGCAACCAGATTTGACAAAAACTACCAGACTTGTGGGGAAACCTGTGAAGGCAAATATTGCAACAACAATGAAAGAAAAGCTTATGTATCCAAGGGTAATGGTAGAAGTTCTAGTGAACAAAACTTATCTTGATTCAGTATTGTTTGAAAATGAAATGGGGGAAGATAATTAAGCAAGAAGTGGAATATGAGTGGAAACCTACACTGTGTAAATATTGTAAGAACACACAAATCAACAATACAAGAGATTACAACAGAAGCCACAAAATGGTACAAGCAAATAAAGAGTGGAAACTAGTGAAGGAGAAAGAACATGTTGATAAGAAAAAACTAGAAGGGGGAAACTAGAGCAAATTGGCCTACAAAGTCCAAGACAAGTTGTGCATAAAGAAGTTGCAACACCAGTGAGCAAATCCTTTGCCACTTTTGGAGGAACAATCAGAAGAGAATAATACAATTGAGGATGGTATAGAAGCCAAACAGACAACAACAAGTAGGCTCAACAAACCTAAAAGTCCTACAAATAGGGAGGGTGTCCATTAGAACAAAGAAATCTTAAATGTTGAAACTGCTACACGAAGAGGAAAACAAATGAAAATAGGGATGTGTCCAGGTACATTGATGGGAGTTGTAATCCCTCCCTAAAACGATAAACTAGGATTTTGGAATACCAGGGGTCTAAACAGGTAGGACAAGCAGAGATAGATGAATCTTTATCTGTACAACTCTAAAGTTGGCCTGTTTGGAATCCTAGAGACAAAGGTTAAGAGACAAAAAACATCTATTGATGCTCTTAACCTTTGTAATGGATGGTCATTCAGTAATAACATAGCACATCATCCGAGTGGGAGAATCTGGGTGCTATGGAAACTGAATATTTTCAATGTGAATATAACTAGTATCAGCTTAAATGTTGCATTGTGAAGTGGAACATAGGGGGACTAAATAGAAGTTTAAGATAACATTAGTCTACAGGTTCAATGACCAAGCTCTAAGGAGGACATTATTGCAAGAACTGGAGAAAATACATGGTACCATCAAAGAGCCATGGGCAGTTATGGGGGACTTTAATTGTGTACTGCACATAGATGAGAGGATAGGAGGCCCAATCACAATTTCAGAGATAAGAGATTTCAAAGAATGTGTAGGAAAATGCTCTTTGTAGGAACTCAGATCATCAGGTTCCTTCTTTACTTGGAATAATAAACAGGGAGATAATAGTCGTGTATACAATAGAATTGAAAGGGTACTAGTGAATGGAGATTGGATGACCAAACTACCAGTATCAGAGGTGCATTTTGGTAATGAAAGACTTATGGATCATTGCCCAGCTATGATAAATTGAGACAATGGACCTCAAAAAGGTCAGCACATGTTTAGATATTTCAATATGTGGAGTCAAGATATAGACTTCCAACAAAAAGTGGAGAATAACTTGAATAGGAGAATTACAGGCACAAAGATGTACAGATTAGTAGGGAAACTGAATAGGCTTAAGGCGACCCTAAAAGAAATAAATAAACTTAATATGGAGATATAGAAGGCAAAGTAGAACAAGCAAAGGAAGAACTTGAGGATTATCAAAGTGAATTGCAAAAAGATCCCACAAACATAACGCTGATAACAAAGGAGGTACAACTAGGCAAGAACTACCAAAAATGGAACTCGGCAAAGAATCAATATCTCAAGCAGAAATGCAAAGTCCATTGGCTGAATTCAGGGGACATGAACACTAAATTCTTTCATAGCATGCTGAAAGCTAGAAGGAATGCTAAAAGAATATTCACCATTAGGGATAATGCAGGAATTAGCAGAAATGACATGAATGGAATAGCTGAAGCTTTTGTGGAGTATTACACTTCTCTGCTTGGTACTAAGAGTAGAGATAGAATGAGAGTATGTTGTGCCACTGTGAAACAAGGTTCTGTAGTATCAGCTGAACTAAGAGGGATGCTTGTTGAAAAGTTTACCATGGAAGAAATAAAACAAGCTCTATGGGAAATAGCAGGGGATAAAGCACCTGGGCCAGATGGCTATGGTAGCCAATTCTTCAAAGATTGTTGGGGGATAATTAAAGAAGATCTAAAGGCAGGGGTAATGGAATTCTTTAGGTCAGGAAAGATAATGAAAGCTTGAAATCATACAGTTCTGACACTAATACCAAAATTAGAGCATGCAGGCATAGTTACTGATTACTGACCCATTACTTGTTGTAACACCATCTATAAGGTGGAGTCAAATATGCTAACTAACAGGCTGAAACAGGTCCTATTAGACATTATATCTCCAAATCAAAGTGCATTTGTGGCTAGCAAAATAATTGTCCAAAATATCCTAATATGCCAAGATTTGGTAAGGCTTTATAACAGAAAACAGACTACTAGTAGTTGCTTGATAAAATAGATTTGAGCAAAGCATATGACACAGTGGAATGGAAGTTTGTAGCAGAAATGATGCATGCATTGGAATTTCCACAACAATACATTAAATGGATTATGAATTGCATAACTACTGTTCAATACACAATAGCCATAATTGAAGTATTGTATGGAAACATAAAAGGGGAAAGAGGACTTAGGCAAGGGGACCCAATATCCCTATTTCTATTTGTCATATGTAAGGAGTACTTCACAAGAATAATGAATATGGTTACACATCAGGGGTTTGGGTATCACACCAAATGTAGGAGCTTGAAGTTGAATCATCTATGCTTTGCAGATGATGTCCTTTTGTTTAGCAAGGGAAACTTTCGATCGGTACTTTTGTTATTGAGGGGGCTGAAAATATTCTCTAACACATCACGTCTATGTACAAATGCCAACAAGTCTAATATATTCAGTATAAATATGTCAATCCAAAGCCAGAATAATCTTATAGAGATGACAGGATACCAAAAAGGGAGCCTACCATTTAGGTATCTTGGAGTGGACACCTCAGCCAAGAGAATATCCAAAATGGATTGTGAGTTTCTCATGGACCAGATAGTAGCTAGAATCAAAAGCTAGGGTACAAGGCACCTCTCCTATGTAGGGAGAGTACAACTAGTCAACTCAGTATTGCTACATATACACAGTTACAGGTCAACCATCTTCATACTACCAAAGCAAGTGCTCAAGGGAATAACAACTGTATGTAGAAAATTTATTTTGGATGGAAAATAGTCACACACAATCCCCCATTAGTGGCATGGAACTTAGTGTGTAGGACTAAACAAGAAGGAGGGCTGAGAATTACAGACATTATAAAATGGAATAAAGCTACAATTGCTAAATATGTCTGGAATATTGCACAAAAAGTTGATAATCTATGGGTGATATAGATAAGTAATGATTACTCAAAGATAAAGACTGGTGGTAGTATACATGCCCCACTAATTCTTGCTGGTATTGGAAAAACGTTTGTATGATCAGAGAGATGTTTGCTCCTGGGTTAACTCAGAATGGTTGGATGAATGCCAATGAACACTATATATCAAGGGTGTCTACCTATGGAGAATGGTAGAAAAGGAAGACTGGCCATGGGAAAGATGGGTGTGGAACAAGATGAACCTACCCAAGCATAGCTATATCTGCTGGCTCACTATGACGACCCAGTCAATCGTCTCATGAGTTACCACTCTATTTTTCCCATTTTTGCTTCTTATTACTTTGTCTATCAGTTCTATAGGTGATCGGGTTGGTTGGCTCGGGTTCGGAAAGGATTTGGTAAAATTTGAGATACTTAGTCTCTTTTGAGGAAGCTTAAGTTGGAAAGGTCAACTAGATGTTGACTTATGAGTTAGATGGCTCGGATATGAATTTTGATGGTTTGGATAGCTTCGGGAGATAATTTGGGACTTAGAAGCGTGATCTAAATGGGTTTTGGAGGTCCGGAGTAGATTTAGGCTTGAATTGGCGAAATTGGATTTTTGGCGACTTTCGGTTGATAGGTGATATTTTGATATAGGGGTTGGAATGGAATTCTAAGAGTTGTAATAGTTCCATTATGTCTTTTGGAATGTGTGCGCAAAATTTTAGGTCATTCAGACGTGGTTTGGTTGAGTTTTTGATCAAAAGCATAATTTAGAAGATTTTGGAATTCTTAGGCTTGAATCCGATGCGAATTTGGTGTTTTGATGTTGTTTTGAGCTTTCTGAAGGTTAGAACAAGTTTGAATGAGGTAATGGGATATGTTGGTATGTTTGGTTGAAGTCCTTGGGGCCTCGGGTGAGTTTTGGGTGGTCAATCACACCATTTTATGTTGTTTGGAATTGCAGAAAAACTGTTGTGTGTTGTAGAGAAATTAGGTCCTCGCATTCGCGAGTAGGTCCTCACGTTCGCGAAGGGTTAGTTGGTGAAGGATGGAATTTAAGCCTTCGCGTTTGCGAGGATGGTTCCACGTTCGCAAAGGGCTGAGGGATTGGTCATCGCGTTCGCGTGTAGGGGACCGCGTTCATGTAGAGGAATTTGGTCAGCTGGGCTTGAGGTGTTTTATTCATCGCGTTCGCGAGAGAGGTGACGCGATCGCGAAGGGTCAAGCTAAGGAGCCATCGTATTCGCAATGGGCAGGTCGCGATCGCGAAGAGGAATTTTTGGTCAAAATTATTTTTGTTCTTCGTGAACTCAACGCTTGACCGCGTTCGTGAAGAAGAAAATGAGGCCTGGGCAGAATGTTTAAATAGTCATCTTGTCCGCGATTTTGGGGTTTATTTTCACCATTTTTGAGCGTTTTTGGAGCTTTTTAAAGAGGATTGAAGAGGAATTCAAGGAGAATCACTTGGTGGTAAGATTCATAGACTTAATAATCGATTCTAATGGGAAATCTACCTAATTAATCATAGAAATTAAGCCTAAAATTGAAGAACTAGGGCTTGAAATTGAAGACCTAGAATTTGGGATTTGAGGGGTCATTTGTGGTTAGATTTTGATGATTTCGGTATGAATGAACTCGGGGAGTGATAAGGAATCCATTGATGTGAATTTTATCGAAATCCGAGATGTGGGCCCAGGGGTCGGGTTTTGGTAATTTCGGGATTTATGTTGTAAATTGAATATTTTTCGCTTGGGCTTCATTCCCTTAGTATATTTTGACATCGTGGTTCTGATTTTGGATAGATTCGACGCGAGTGGAGATCGATTCGAGGGGCAAAGGTGTCACAGACTAGAGTTTGGACCGGATTGAGGTGAGTAATGATTGTAAATGATGTCCTGAGGGTATGAAACCCCAGATTTCACATTGTTGTGCTATATTAAGGTGACATACAAACTAGATAACGAGCATGGGGTCGTGTACTATTGGAGATTGTGATTTAGTCCGTCCCGAATGACTATTTTACTGCATATTTGACTGAAATTTATTTGCTATCATCTTGTTTTGGGTTGATTGCCATATTTGGGCCTCGTGCCAACTATTTGAACCCTTAGGTGACTTTTATTGATATTTCCTCACTATTTTGACTTCATACTTGAAGTCAGTCATGCTATATTCCACTATTTTCATAATTCAGCCATGTTTACTCTGTTTTAACACTTAAATGATCCTTTAAATGATATTTTTGGTTGAGAATCATATTTTACTATTGCTCGAGTGGCTTGTGAGGATTTTGACTGAGTAAGGCCGAGGGCCTATATTGTGAGAAACCACTGATTATGATTATGAGGCCAAGGGCTTAAGATTTGTACGCCATGAGGTGGCTTGTTGATATGAGATTGAGAGCCTTGTTATGATGCTACGAGATGGCTTGATATTGTGTTTGGGCCGAAAAGGGGCTCCTCTAGGAGTCTGCACACCCCCAGTGAGCGCGGGTACCCATTGTGATGCCAGATATAGCCCGAGGGGCTAATATTGTTCTGAGATATTGCCCGAGGGGCGAACCTTTATATGTTTATCTTCCTTATTGCCTGTCATTTACCTGCGTAAGTGTTAAAAAGGCCTTTTATGAAGTTTTAACTGAACTAAAATGATTGTTACATATTTTTTACTGCTTCACTATAGCGTGTAATGTGCCTTACATGATTTCTTGCTTTCAGTCTTTATTTATGATTATTACTCACTGAGTTGGAGTACTCACTTTACTCCCTACACCCCGTGTGCAGATTCAGGAGTTGCTGATCCTACTAGCGAGAGTTGAGAGCTCCCGGCAGACTTCGAAATTCACGAGGTAGCTGCGGCGTCCGCAGTCCCGTGTTTCTCCCCCTTATCTCATTTCTTTTCCCGTATCAGTGACTTTGTAATGCTTTGTAGACTTTTCAGACTTGTGTTAGAATTGATAGATGCTCATGACTAGTGATACCCTGGTATCGGGCTGTGTTGGGTTTTATTTCCGCAAACTATAATGTTCAATGCTTACTTTTGGATTATTTATTACGTTTTAGCGTTAATTATTATTGTTTAATTGCTTAAAACTGAAATGTAAAAGTGTCGACTGGCCTTGTCTTCATGAGAGGCGTCATCACGACCGGGTCCGTGTTTAGGGTCGTGACAAGTTGGTATCAGAGCCTAGGTTACATAGGTCTCACGAGTCATGAGCAGGTTTAGTAGTGTCACGTGGATCGGTACGGAGATATCTGTATTTATCCTCGAGAGGCTGCAGAACCTTTAGGAAAAACTTCATATTCTTGAAATTGTTTTCGTGCAAATTTGTTGATCTGAGTACTAAACTTATGTTATTCTATTCTCTCACAGATAGTGAGGACACGCGCTACCGGTCAGGATGGACGACTACCAGGACCACCAGTTGTGGTCACTAGAGGCTGAGGACGTGGTCGTGGTTGCGGTAGGGGCAGAAGTGTGGCCCGCACAACAGCTAGGGTAACACCTGCAGATCCACCAGCCACCCCAATTCAGGATCAGCTCCCAGTTGTGGACGCTCCAGCAGCACCAGCTCAGGCACCAGCTGTGCCCATTGTGATTCCGGGTATTTAGGAGGCCTTGGCTCAGATTCTATCAGTTTGCAGTGGCCTAGCTCAGGCAGTCTCAACCACTACAGCCGTAGCTACTCCTCAGGCCAGGGGAGGTAATCAGACTCTCGTCGCTCGCACACCTTAGCAGGTCGTGCAGGGAATTCAGAAGCTAGGGGCACATCCAGCCTAGCCGGTTGTAGCTGCTTAGGACTATGTAGTTCCTGCCATGCCAGAGGACGAGCAGTGCATGTTGGA